AGTCTCCTACTATGCATAAATAAAAATCAAAGAGTACCCTGCAGACATGCTGTCTTAATGATTTTCAGTACTCTTTTTCAAGTGCAATAAGGTTTAGTGTTACTGGTTTAGACACAAATACCAGGACAAGAAATTAAAATATGTGGCTACCCATGATTTTTWGAGCTTGTTTTGTGACTTTGTCCAGCTACCTCTTTACTGAGTGTCACATTACTGAAAATATGAAAGTCTGTGTGAACTTCTGACCATTTTTGACTAAATATTTTGAGAATAATGGCTGGTAACAAGATTTTAATTAAACTGAAAATCCCACTAACAAGAAGGTAGATTGATGACTCTAATTCAAAACAAGTATTTTATAGCAAAATTYTAAACAGATATTTTAAGTCCAATCCCACAATATGGGGATATTTTCTGCAGTTCCTATTTTCATTTTCTCCACCTCCAGTCTTGAATACCAAACSACAGAACATTTTCTGGCATAGTATATTACAAAGCTCATTTGTATTAAATTTATCATTTGTGCTCAAAGTTTCATAGCACAAAGATGGAATAAATAGAACCCAAAGAAAACTAAATTGCATTCTAATAGGGAAGATTTATTAATGAGAAAAAAACATAATTCACAAAATCAGAGTTAAATGTACCCAGGAGTGGTATAGATGTTTTAACACATCATTTGACTAAAGCAGTGGAGTGATGTATTTGAAGCCATTAAACATTACTGGGTCCAGAACAGGCTAAACGATTTCCAACTATGATGCAAAGTGAGAAAACAGTTATGGAATCAGAAAACACCAGCTGAATTGTAAGACATCTGCTCTAAGTTGTATGCTTAGAAGAAAGTACAGAAACAACCTTCACACAATTCTCAAAATGCAGAAAATCAGCCTGGCACTTAAGAGGTTGCACTAATGAGTYTGCTGTAACCTGATGACCCAAAACACAAATGAAAGCCAAGGGCCATGCCAGCCTCACCTCCTCTACCTTTTCTAAGTAGCAATAATAAAATGTTTTTTAAAAAGCTTTTAAATAAAAGTTTAGCCAAACTCTAGTACAATGGTGAAGTGCCTGTGGTGCTCCATTCCCTGGCTTATGGGGGAAACAACTGGGTTCTCATCTCCAGGTGTTTCCTGGTATCACCTCAGGAGTGCTGCCAACTTTCTACATAACTGAAATAAACCAAACTTTTCCATAAGGAATTGTAGCCTGAATACAAAGAACATTACTATAAAATCACATCTTATATCAGCAGAAGGCACATCGAGAGTAGTGGTAGAATAAGCCAAATTACCCTAAAAAAAGAAAGGTGGAGATCCAGCAACCCAGAACATGTAGTTGCAGAGTAAAGACTGGGTATGCTGGGTTCAATTTTACTATTGACCTAGATAAGCATCTGGACAAATATTTTGACATTTACATTGTTATATGTAAAGTGGATATAAATTACATGGGTGTCCTGATGGAGACTTAGTGAAAAAGGACATRTATTATAAAACTTTATAAAAAAGCAAAAACTATGGAAAGTAGATTAAAAACAAAAGCAAACAGCAACTCTTTTACACATGCTAGAAATTTGTTCTGTGAAGCAATACATCTGGTAGAAAGATACAGATCTTTCTACCATGTCCTATCCAGCAGCCAGTCATTAACGTGGGAGCATATCTTAAATTCTGCCTGAGAGAGGCATTATCGAAAGGAAATACCTCCCTGCAACATCACCAAAAAATGAAAGCACTCAAGCAACTTAAGTCATCCCAAGTATTCTGCTAACACTGAGCCAAAAGAATTTCTGGGCTAAGTCTACTGAAGACAGCTAGTACACCAGGGATAAATCTGATGTGTTCTTTATTACAAGGCCATTACATAGGCCTGCTGCCAGTATACAAAGACAAATTGTAAAGTAACTGATTAGCTACAGTGACTGAAGTTGCCCTGTGAACATATCTACAGAACTCTGTATCTATCATCCTGTCCATAAAACATGCTTCTAATTCGTTCAGAAGTATTGCTGATTGCTTTTTTTCTGACTGTTATGAGCTGTTTGTCCTATTTTGGGTTTGGCAAGTCATCCTAAACTATCTTGCTGTTCGGTCCAAACTCATGTCAGTCATCGGTTTTACTAATTTTTAATTTTTAAAAGTCTRTGAGAGTTATATATAATTCTACTTAGCAACGAGTGACTGTTACCAACTCTTTAATCTACTTATATTACATCCTTCATACATAATATGAAARTATAGTGCTATGTATGTTCATACAGGTATATATCATGTATGCAGCCTGTTTTCTAATGCAGCCTGTTTTCTACCAATAGAATAATGATAGAACAACAGTGGTCAGCACATCAAATAGTGTGTTAGCAGGTGGATGCACACAGTTTGCTGGGGAAGCACCAGAATGGTTTTTTTTCAGTGGGAAATCCTACTCCAGAAGAGTCTTGTAAAACAGTGTTTGGGCAAAAGAGACATGTAGGAGCTTCAATACAAAGTAGCTACCTATGGGAAAAACAACCTAAAACATATCTACAGAACAATGGACTCATAATAGATAGTTCTGACAGAGGAAAGAGGTCTTGGGGTCATTGATGACATTTCTCTAACACTGACAGACTCCGGTGGGTTGTGAACAAGATTTACTGTGAAGGCATGGATAAAGTGAACATGGAATTTTTATTGAACAAATCCTTGAAGCTAGAAGAAAGGAATACTGAAGGAAGCTACTCAGAACTTTTTTTAACAGACAGAAAAAAAGTGATTTCCATAAAGCCACGATCTTCTGGAACTTGCTTCCATGTAGGCTGGGGAGCCAGAGAGTGTCAGTCTGTCTATAAGGAGCTAACTCACACAGAGAGTCCATTGGACATTMATGGACATTAATGGAACTAGGAAGAATTGGATCCTAATACAACTGTAGATGCTGAGAAGCTGCTGAAGGTGGCCAGGTCTAAATGCTCTTGCTCCTCTGTCACTCTGGCACAGAGCAGTGATCACTGGCCCAACTGGTATGGAATTACCTACTACTTTTTTAATGTCTGTAATGTTTTATCAGATTAATTTTAATATTTATGAACCACAACTCACTACAGTCATATTTCACTTAAAATTAAAACAATTGCCAAGACCTAATGGGCATCATGTCATGTAGACCTCCCTTTGAAGGAAAAGCTTTTACTTGGGCCAGGATTTTTTTTTTTCAGGTATTATTAAGTTTATTAATTTGTTAAGTACAGGATTTATCTTGATTTTCCACTTGGCTGGGTTTGTGAATCAAGAAAAGTATCATTATTCTGAGATTAATACCTTGGCAGAGTARAGTAGTCACTTGTCAAATTTCTGTCAGGACAAAACTGTATGGAGTCAGGAAATGTGACACCAGAGACATCATACTTGTGCTTTCCCTGTTCCCTTACATATTTTTACATTCCTGGCATTGGAAATAATTTACTGTTCAATTCCAAACGATCAAAACCAAATTCAGTAAAAAAAAAAAAAAAAAAAAAAAAAAAAAAAAAAAAAAAAAAAAAAAAAAAAAAAAAAACCAAAAAAAAAACCAAACCCTGCCACACCATTCTGGTGACTGATTTTAATCTGAGGGTTTATAAAAAAAACATCAAAGGTATCAATTCTGTTAGGTGGCTGTAGATACACTAATTTGTCAGTGTATTTAGAAGTAACTGGAGAGATAAAGTATTTCTGTAGTGACTCATTGATTTTCCACATTTATGCAGGAAATTTTAAAGGATTTTTGTACCCCTTGTATATTTAAATCAAGCCTTCTAAACCGCTCTATTACATCAGACACCTTTTAGCACAGCTATAATGTAAGGRACTGCCAGGATCCAGGACTGCAAAATCTCCTCACACTGAGTAAGATTTTTGGTGACTCGAGGATTTGGTACAGTGCCTTYTCACAGCATCAGATACAGAAACGGGTTTTATATATGCACAGTAATATTTTCAGGGCCTGGTTGTAGAAAACAGATAAGCTTCCATTSCCTGCAACAGGGACTTGCCTGGGTCTTCCATTCACAGCCAATAYAACCATTTATTTTTATAAAATACATACATTTTTCTACCCTTATTAATTTGTTTTCAGCATTTTTTTCTTTCTTGCTTTCAGCATTCTTCAGCAAATGGTCAGAAGCATTTGTTCAGACAACTTTCACTGATTGTATTCTAGCTGCAGGAGGATATATTCATACTATTCTGAAGTTCTTCCTTCACTAAAAGGCAGACAACAGATCATGAAATGAAATGAAAGGAAGTTGTTCTAAATGCCTATCTTCTTAATAGATATACAGTTTAACACCTAAAGGCCAAAAAAGATAGAAGAAGAACAAGGCCCTAATCTCAAATTCATGCCGTCATAGTAAATACTGATAATAAATAAACACAAATAAATTCTTGGTTTCAGGGGGTTGGGTTGATAAATTAACATGCAAATATATCCCACTCCCATTTCAAATTAACAAATATCTATGGTTCACTATTTTATTATTATTTTGATGTAAWTTTTTTACGTATTAAAACTGTATCTTCTTTTTTACAGCACGGTGGCAATTTTGTTAACAAATACAGGCCTTGTACTTGTTACTCTATAAAAAGCTATAGAAAAAGACTAATTACGTCGGCTGRACATCACACATGTACATGCAAACACCAAACCAATTCATCACCGGGTTAGAAATGTTGGGGCAAACTGAAGGTGTGTGAAGAACAGAGAACACGGCTCCCATTGCTCACGGACAGTGCCGGCCTCATCAGAGGGGCTGAACATGAACCCCACAAAACCCCGGCCCACACCGCAGCGCAACGCGCCCACCTCTCGGCGTTCCGGGCAGCTATCAGGGCAAAGTGGCCGCARAGCAGCCCGCAGCAGGAGCTGCAAGGCCGCAGAGGCCGCAGGGCTGCGGTGAAAGGGCCCTTTGGGGGAGCAGAGGCCGCAGGARGGGCTGTGGGATGGACGCTGCCGCAGCCGGGCCGCCCGGCGGGACCCACCTTGGGCATCCGGATGTGCTCCATGGCGCCCGGCCGAGCTCCTCAGCRCTGCCCGCCGCCGGCGGAGACAGTCCTGCGCACCTGGCCTCTCCTGGATATCCTCCGGCCCGGCTGACAAAAAATAAACTATTAATTTTTTTTAATAATATATTTTCATTTTATATTTTCCTGGCGTTTTCCGGCGCAGATAGGAAGAAGGGGGGATTTATTGCCGGCAGCTGATGCTCCGGTGCGGCGATGCCCGCAGCTCGGCGGCTGGCTCCACCTCCCCGGCAGCTGCCATGCTGCCCCRGTGGCGGGGATGCTCCGCGCCCGCCGCCCGGCCCGGCCCCGCCGCCCGCAGGCACCGCCGCCGCGCCCGCACCATCGGCCTCCTCCCCGCGGGCACCACGGCGCGGCCCGGAGCGTTTGCGGGCTTATCTGCAATGGCAGCGCCATTCCCTTTCCTCCAGGGAAGATAAGATCGGGAGCATAAAGAGAGCTCTGTCTGAGGTCGCCTCCCCCCACGTTGTTTATTCCCTGGTCCAGCGGGTACGGTAGCTCTAACACAAAAGCTGCACTTACTGAAGCACTGAAGTTTGTTTATGTCAAGCTCTGTGTGTCTGTAATTCACGACTTTGCTGCATCCTCAGATTTGCGCGAGGGAGTATTTTTTGTGACGCAGTTTTCAGCCTTACTCCAGAAATTCCTTTTGCCATCTTTTGCCTTAACCTATCACAAGAGATGTGTTACCTCTTGGAACAAAAATAAATGGCACTGATGTTTTCCAAGTTTAGTGTSAAGATATAAAACAGGTATCTCTAACCGTCTTTGAATTGCTATCATATTCAGAGCAAAAAGAGAAAGTTCTCAGTGTTTATGCCAACGTGTGAATCACTAGAGGTGCTGGTATATTATTTCAGATACGCCATAAATGTAAAATGCCCAGGTATTGTATATTGACCAAAGTATTCAGCAATTCTCCACAAGTAGGGTCTAACCTCATCAAGGCATAGAAATAAATGTGGGGATCTGTCAAACCCCACAAATGCCACAGCAAGAGAAGCTCTCCACATATCCTCTTCTTGTGTTCGGAGAAAAGAGCAAGCTTAATTTGTTTTGTGAAAAAGAAAATATGGGTTGAAAATATCATGGGGTTACCAAAAACCAAGAAAGCATTTTTCCCCAAGGGAAAGGAAAAATGGATCCAGCTGCACTGATTCCAAGGTTTTTTCCAATGCTGTCACTTTCTTGCTAGTGAATGGCTAGATAAAGGTGTTTTTTTTCCCATTTCTTATCCACAAAACCTAGGGCATCAAGAGGGGTTTTTTATTTATATCAACTCTTATGATAGAAGAGACAGAAGCTGTACTGTCATGAGTGGAAAATAAGTCACCCCTGGATTGACATTCTGCTTGCTCCTCCCATTTTGATCCATTTCTGCCCTCCTTTCTCTGATAGTTGGGCTGCTTTTATTGAGCAGGGGTGGCTGTTATGGCCATAGTCTGAGACATCATCAAATTAATAAAAACTCTTCTTGGAGTTTCTAATCATTGCATTTCACTCTGTTCACTGAGATCTCAAATGAGGCTTGGTAATATAATTTTTTGCTTGAAAATTCACTGGATAGCACCCATAAATGTGCWAAGTGTCAGTTTCACAAGACTCTTGATCAGTGTCTTGTCAGAATAAAATAATATTTTATTCTGTATTTTAGACCAGTGCATCAGAATCAATTAAGAATTAACCAGCCATGGAATCTGTTTCCTTTGTAGTTATGGCTGATGAGATATACTGCACATATTATCATTTCTCGGCATTACCACTGATGAGTAAAGCTGGAAAACCACACACGTTAATGCTTTCAGTCCCCAGAGATGCATTTACTCTGGTACATCTTGTGATTCATTGCAGCCAAGTTCAAGTCCTACTGCTGATGTCAGGAAATCTTTCAGACATAAGTRACAATGCGCTTTAACTCTGCTTCACATCCATCAATAGCTGAGAAACTGAAGCATTGTCACTTATGTAGCAACCAGTTGCTCAGCATCCTGACAGAGATTTTGACCTGTCTTGGGCTGATAAAATAATTGATGTGTGAATGCAGCTGTAAAAGAACTAGGGTTTAGATAAAAGTTATGTCTACTGAAATTGTCATGGAAAGCTGCAGTAACGACAGCCCTCCTAAAATGCTCTTCCATTTTTTATTTACATTTCAGGCTCATAGAGACTGCTGCCTTTGTTTGGAAAGTTAAATCCTCTGTGTCTTGGTTTGAAAGACAGGTGTTTGCCARTGAAGGCAGGGACCCTCCTTGGAGTGGTGGATATGACCCCCCTTCCCTCTGAATTATTATAGCTTTGAAAATCACGGGCTTTCAGGTAAGAGTTTGGGTAAAAGGGARTAACAGTTTTACTAATATGTCTAACAAGGTGAAACAAGTAATAACAACAATAGCAACAACCAGCCCAATCCCAAACCCAGTGACAGCCTCACAGAGACACAGCCTCCCCTTTGGTGCAGTTACAGTCCCAGTCGGCAGGGGCGCTGTTGGCTCCCGGCCGGGCAGGGCGGGTGCGATGATTCCCCGGCGGCTGCAGGGGGCGCTGTGGCGCAGGTCCCGGCTGGTTCAGATCTCCCGCGTCAACAATGGTGGACACAAAATGGTAGAGGTGGAGGGAGAAAAAGTTCCTCTGCAAAACTCACAGTGGAAACGCCGATCTCGGTGCTCCTCTGGACAGCAAGAAACCCAGGACGGCAAAGAGATGAGCAGCATCCCGTGGCTGTGAGACGGGATGGAGCAGAGCTCACCCCCTGAAGCTGGAATCTCAGGGGTTCCCAGCAAGGCACAGRGGAGAAAACCACCGTGCAGCAAACAGGAACCCAATGAGCAGAGATGCTGGACTCTGCAGAAAAAGGGCAGGCCAGCTTTCCCCCCCAAGCAACCAGCGGGCAGATCTCCTTCTCTCAGCGAAGCAGCGAAGGAAGTGAAGTTACGCCCCCACCCCCCAAAAAAAACACACACCTTCCCGGGTTTAGCAAGATCGCTTAGGTAGGGCATAGGTACATAGCATTGTCTTCACTAATCGCCCACCTATCAAAAGGATGACCTCGGCAATCAGTGTAYCCCAGCAACAAATGGGAAAGAAAAGGTTCCCAAAGAAAGGGAACAAAAGGGGAAAAATCTTAACCTACAACACTCTGTAAGGGTACAACCAGAAATAAAATAACTCCACAGATTACTGCTCTGACTGAGCTAAGACATAGGGGCAGGAGAATTGAATTGTGTGCTGAAACTGCCATCAAAGTTCTTAACTAATGTCACGTGAAGAAGGCTGGTCACTGAGGTCTAGAACCATACCAGCATAATTATTTTCTAAATCCATGAGTAATAGAGCCAGCTTTCAGCCTCATGCACTAAAACTTGAAAGCATATTTCACTTCCAATATATAATCTTTTCTGTTATATTCATTGGAGTCACCCAAATACTCAGACATTTTGCGTACTATTTACCTGGTCTGGATTTGAGACATCATGTTAGATGTGGAAGGCTTTATGGATTTATTTGTGTTTTCCAGTTATATCTTGCTTGTTTAAAGGTAGTTTCCTGTGAACTATATTTTAATATAATACAAAATCAAAGAATACATTTATATACTTGTAATACTTGGTTTAAAATTTAGTGTACAGATTTGTAGGCATAAATTCAATACTAACATGTAGAGAGAAAATTAACTGAAAATTGCTGGTATAACAGCTTTGTTGCTGGGACAGCTGTAGCTGAGRTGAGAGAATCCTCCACCTAAAGGGTCTGATATATGGGATGAAGATAAGGAGATTGGGGTCAGCCCTCATTACTGTGGGTTAAGGCTAACAGTCCTGGTTTGAGCGCAGCCCTGGGTTTGTGGATAAGAAATGGTGCTAAAAACATCCAGCCTGACATCTCACCAAGGAMATGCTTTTGGACCCAGTGATGGCAAAAAAGTGGCTTGTGGGCATCAACTCTTCTTCATGTAATTCATCATACAGATCTTTGTACATTATTTGTTGAAAATTGCATACAAACCAAATAGGACTGTATCAAAGCCAACTGACTTTCTTATCGGTGTTCTTCTAATGAAAATATCCAGTGAGATGCATGGCAAAATAGGCTTTTATATTAGAAAAAGGGAAACAGTACAACTTTTTGCCATAYAGTAGATGAATACATTTTGGAACATATCTACACCAGTAATGCACAAATGTGTAGTGTAACTTGTAACTACTTTGTAGTTTAAAATTAATTTTCTTCCACAGTTTCACAGTACTGCTTTGCTGCTTTAAACCCTTCATAAGATAAAAACTACCCCTACAATTTCTTAGAATTATGAAATCTTTGAGTTTAGAAAAGACCTCTAAAATAAGTGAGTCCAATCATTAACCTAACCATGTTGCCATCAAAYAATATCCAGTCTAAGCTTTGCCTGGCACAGCTTGAGTCAGTCCCTCTCATCCTGTCACTTGCTGCCTGAGAAAAGAGAGGCTCACCTGGCTACAGCCTCCTTTCAGACAGCTGTAGAGAGTGATAAGGTCTCTCCTGAGCTTCATTTTCTCCAGGGAATACAACCGCATCTCCCTCAGCTGCTCTGCTCCTCATAAGATTTGTTCTTGTTATTTCCTTTTGTCAGGGAATTTCATGCCACTTGTCAAACGATAAAKATTAATTCTATTGGAACATGTTTACACCCGGGATAATAAGTACCATGGATTCAGAAACAGTGTCTGTTTATATTCGTTTCATAACTTCTGAACTTTTTCAGGGAACATGCAGCTTTCTCCTGGCAAATGCACTTGGACACACAGACTTCACCCCCAGTTAATACAGCAGGAGGTGCATGTGACAAGGTAAAGGATGCAAGGAGCAGCTTCCACTTTATTGTTTAACTTGACTGTTACTAGGTTTGACCTTTTAACATTTCCTTTCATAATGGCTCAAAGTCTTTGATTTGGCCTTGTTATAAAACATTGTTACATCGTTATAAAAGCAAATTTTTTACAGGAAAAAAAATCAGCTAATCTCTGGAAATTAGAGGGGTTTTGATGCTGTTCTGCAGATAAATAAACTGATATTWATACCATAAAACCTATACCATATAACAGTGTGTTACATGATATATGATATGCCATGCATGATAATCAGGCCAGCTTTGTGTTAACTGGCCAGAAATGTACAGTATAGT